AGAAGTTCTCCCAGGCGCGCGAGGTTGTGGTGAAGCCAAAGAAGAAAAGGCACCAGAGCCCAAGGAGTATGATGGGGCAAGGAATGCGCGCTAGATTAATAACTTCTTCTGGCACATGGAGCGATACTTTGAGTGCATGGAGATAGAGGATGATGAAGAGAAGGTGCAGACAGGTACCATGTACTTCACGGACACTGCCACTCTATGGTGGAGGCAACGCTTCACTGGTAGAGGCGCAAGAGCGGTTGACACATGGGAGGAGTTCAAGAGGTAGCTCAAGAGGTAATTCTACCCCGAGTGCGTTGAGGACCTCGCCATGATCAACCTAAAGCGCCTAAAGTAGAAGGGCAGCATAAGGGAGTATGTGAAGGAGTACTCTAACTTGATGCTGGAGATCCCAGAGATGCCGGAGCGGCAACGCGTGTGCTTGTTCATAGATGGGCTGCAGTTTTGGGTGGCCACAGAGCTGAGAAGGAGGGAGCCTAGAGACTTAGCATCCGCAATGGCTATACTGGAGCGCTTTGAAGACTTTAGGTGCGATGACAAGAGGGCCACGTCTCCCAGGAGGGACCACAGTAAAGGTGGGGGAGATTGGCGCTTCAAGAAAGGAGGCTCGCCCAAGTCCGGTGATGATGAGTACAGCGATGAGGAAAGACGCCCGCGCTATGACAAGGGCAAGGACCATGGAGAAAGGTCCAAGGCCAGTGGCAAAGGGGAGCGCCGCGACAAGGGCAAATGGGAGCCGAAGTGCTACTTGTGCGAAGGGCCGCACATATTGCGACATTGCCCCAATAAGAAGACCATGAACGCCCTTGTGAAAGATAAGGGCAAGGGCAAGGTGGAGGATGCGAGCAGCAATGAAGACAGGTGCATGGGGGCTATGCAGATGCTGAGTAGCATGGCGCATGACACAAAGAAGAAGGGCAAGGAAAAGAAGGTAGCTGGGGTGCGCTATGTGGATGCGCTGGTTGGTGGCAAAGCTGTGCAAGCGTTGGTGGACACGGGTGCCACACACAACTTCATTACCTCGGAGGAGGAGCAACGACTTGGCTTGGAGATGAGCAAGACGGAGGGATGGATCAAAGCTGTCAACTATGAGGAGGCACGCGTGAGTAGAGTGTGCAAGGAGGTGGAGCTATGCATGCAAGGATGGAAGGGCAAGGCCGACTTCCAGGTTGCGGAGATGGAAGACCACGACATGGTGCTGGGGCTGGAGTTCATGGATAAGAACAATGTCGCACCACTACCATGCCTTGGTGCGTTGTGATACTTGGAGGCAAGGAAGGCAAGGCCGCATGCATGGTGCCACTCGTGGGCAGGAAAGAGAGTCCAGAGGTGGCAGTCAACACGATGGAGCTCGTGAGGACCTCATATCTCCCGAAGGGGGCACGTACATTTGGGCCAAGGACATATGCGCAAGTGCTGAAGACCTGCGATAAGCTGGGTCAGCTAAAGAAACCGTGACGAGGGCATCACGGAAATAGGTTGGGGAGAATGTCACGCCCCGCCTATGGAGGTTACGCCACGCAAGCGTTGAGTAGGACGCTGCATGGCAAGTGGAGTTTCTAGAGTCTTCCGGAGTTGTCTAGTGTTGTGTGGAAGATTCTAGTTATGTGTAGTATATTCTAGAGTTCTCTAGAATTGTGTAGAGTAGTATGGAGAGTTTTAGAATGTTGTAGATACTTATAGATAAGTATGGAAGTGTGAAGAGGGTGGGAGAAGATTCTAAAGAATTGATCTCCACCGTTAGTTATAATGCATCCTAACCATCCATTAGGGATGGGGATGCCTACAAATAGGAGTAGGACTTCATTTTGTAGCCAACAAATCCTGGAGTGAGTCTTGAGAGCCTTGTAAAGAGTTTGAGTGCTAGCTACAAAGCATTCTTTGAAATAATAGAAGTATTCTTTCCTTGCCAACTTAAGTGCCTTAGTGTGTGTGAGTGTGCAAGCCAAGTGAGGGAGGGCGATGGCCACTACAACACTAGTAAGTGCACGAGGGGAGTGTGTTGGTTAAGGTGTGCACGGGAGTTAGGTTGACCAAACACTTGCAAGAGTAGAAGCAACGTCTTGGTGCCGTGCGGGAGTAGCTAGAGTGGTGCTGAAACTCTAAGCCCGTGACATTATGGTTTCTTGGGTATGAAATTTGGTGGTTGTAGTAGGTTGGAATCATCATTTTGTGTGGAAACAAAGTTTTATCTTATATTTCCAGTGGATGAATAATTCACTGAATGAAGGTGTTTTTAATCTGCAAACCCATATTTTGCATGGGTTGATTAAATCTAATGGGTGGGTTTCTTGCGCATGTGGCGGCGGTGGTGATGGGTTTGGGTGTGACCACCACTACGGCCTCCTCTTCAGCCGCTGGAACCCTCTTTCACTGCCTCACGATTTGGTGTGTTTGGTTTTCTCTGTTATTTTCTTCAGATGAAAAATCAAAAGAGAGTAATAAATGGGGGCATGAAGAAACATGAAAAAATAGCTAGAGATTTCAACAATTAAGGATTAGGTTTTTTTGGGGGTGTTGTATGGACCTGAAACGATGAAATTTAAGTGAATAATGATAGGGAGGCCGACAAATTGACCCGAATAAGTATAGAATCTGACGTATTTTTGTCCACCTCATTTACTTAAATAGTTTCCAAAAATAATTATTTAACATGTGATAAGAATGACCAATCACGTCAAATTCGATCAAATTCAATACTAATTCGGTGATTCCTTTTCGATTCTCTTACCATTACTCAAATTAAGTATTCAACCAATAAATGACTTCTCTTCGATATTTTAACGAGAGCGTTTTGATGGGTTAGTGTTTTCTGCATCATCAGTCAGATTGATTCATAATTGTATGTGTATTTAAGGGGGTAAAATAATCATTCTAGCTATTTGATATTTTAAAGTAAGTTGAATTAAAAAGTTAAGATAAAAAACAGTAAAGAGTAAAATTGTCTTTTCGCACCTTTTTTTTACTACGTTAGTGAAGGAAAAGTAAAATTGGATCTAAGTGATATTTATTTTTAAAAGATATTTGAGTATTATTTGATCAAATCTGAGGGAGTGTCAAGATTATAATTTTTATTTTTTATTTGAGTTATAATTTAGACTTCGTTTATTTGGACGTAAAATATTTTTCAGAAAATATTTTTATTTTTATTTTTTGGTGTTTGGTCGTTATAAAATATTTACGAAGAAAAAAATTATTAAAATTTAACAAAAATAATTTATCCATCAATTTTTGACACGTTATTTTACATATCCCACCCGATGGACTCGACCTCAACCATAATATAAACCTTTGCCAAAAAAAATAATTTTCAAAAAAAATATTTTAAGTCGAAACAAACGGAGCCTTAGTGATAATTTTTCACCTTATAAAGTATAAAGTTGCAAGTTCTCTTATATGAACAAAGTGGTTATGTGAGTTTCTTGCCAATATGAAATAAATAAATAAATAAATAAAATTATAAATAAAAAAGTTAATTCTCAATGGACAAATTTGAATCATATCCAAATTACGAGAGTATATGTATTTATTGATCATAATAACATTTGACCTCAGATATCTTTCCCTAATATCTCTCTTAAGTCATTTCTAACAAAGCATGGAGATGCAACACCCATACTACCATGAATTGAGTTATATATATAAAATTATTAAAATTAAAAATACAATATTTTTATATTATTATTCTATTTTTTATTTAATGTTTTTGTGTAGATATTCCATTGTGAATTTAAACACACAAGAGAATATATCACACACCAATTACTGTGTATATATATATATATGTTAAAAATTAAAAGGCCTAGATCAAAAATAAATAAATAATAGTAATAGGATAATAATAATAAAAAAATTTAAAGGACACTTTTGCTTTAGGTGCGTAAAGAGAATAGTTGTACTCTCTAAAGGGTACGGAGAATGGGCCCCGGTTTTCTTCTTTATTCATTTTAAAACAAAAGAAATATACTTAGTGTTTGGTAGAAATTATTGGATACTTTAGGGTATAAATAGTTTTGGTAATTTACAAAGCTTTATTTGAACAATTGTTAAGTTTATTCACCCTCTTTGGTACACCCTCATCCCTTCAGTTACTTTGAAATTTCACCATGGTCAATTTAATAAATACCGTGTCAAAACTGACACCAAATAATAATTGAAAAAGTCTTCCTCATAATGATAATATAAAAATATTATCATTGATGTTATTAATCAATTATATATTGTCATGTTAGTAAGAATGTGAATATTTCATATGTCATAATTTAATTAGGGCTTATTTAGTATGCGTTTCCTTTTTACGTTTTTGTTTTAACTCCAAATAAAACAAATGTGATAGGTATTTTTGAATAATTTTCGAAAGTAATATTCATTTATTGTAAGATTTAAAAAATATAATAATTAGTTTAAAATTAATTTTTCATATATAATAATTATTATAATGCAAAAACACTAAATTGATGTTTTAATTTTAAATTATTTTAATGAGACTCTTTGATACTGTACAAATTAAAATATATATATTTTTATTTTTTTCACTATTTACAATTATAATATCAGACAAAAATAAAAATACTAAAAATAAAATACGTACCTAATGGGTCTTAGTGAGTGATACACGGGCATTCGAATAGGACGAATTAAAGTTTATCCGGTGATAATTTGCGTACCATAGGATTTGATTTGAAAAGGAATTCCACTTGTTTAGAAGTAACCGACTTTAAAAGGGAAGGAGATGTGAAGGGTTTCCAAAGAAAATATTGTAACGTCAGGAAATCAGAAAAAATTATGGAATTTTTACAAACCACTTTAAAGTCTCCTCTTTTTCTAAAATGGTATGGAATTTATTTATGTTTTTAAAATTCTTATTTACAAATTTTAATTTATTCCCAACATACAAATTAAAAATTATTTTAATTACAATTCAATTTCTTTTCCAAATTAAATTCCAAAGAAGCGTAAATGATGGGACAACTACCGAGTTTGATAAGGAGGAGACTGGGCGTCCGCTTGTATTTTAACACTTCCTTCTTAAAAAAAGAAAAAAAGAAAAATGAAGAATAATATGATGTCCAAATTTTAAATTTTATATTTAAAATCAAATGATGAACTCAATTACTCCGGATAATAGAACAAATCAAAAGGGAGGACTGTGCTGTCCATTAACGACATTGAGATAACAAATAGCAATCAAAAAGCACAGGAAAAGGAAAGAAAAAGCAAAGGAGAATGGATGGTTACAGAGGGAGAGAGAGATTTTAGAGTGAGAGAGATGTTGTGGGTTGTTCATCATCTTCTTCCTAAAGGAAAGCGAACTCGTGTATGGGGAGGAGCATTTCTGATTTGGTTTCTTCTGATGTTGGGTACCCCCAAAATCTCCCACTCCCCCAAACATCATCTCTTCTCTGATATGCGGAATTTCCTCGGTACCTTGCTACTAATACCTTCTCTCTCTGTCTACACACACACACACACACACACTCTTGAATATACACACATATTATTAGTCTGTATTGCTTGATTTTATGAATGTGTGTGCTTTTGTCTTGTGGATTTCTTGTAACAGGAGTTCCTAATACACTGAATGTGATCACAAACTTCCCTTTTTTGATTATTGGTGTTCTGGGTTTTGTTCTGTGTCTCCAACACAGTTTCTTTGTTATAAGGTTATGCTTGGTTCTCTCTCCTGAGTGTTAATTTCAGTTTTTTGTTATTTCTGTATATTGATTTTGAAATTTTGATGTGTTTTTGGAACTGGGTTTATTGTAGTTTAAGAGGAGAGATATGGGGTTGGGCCATTTTCTACGCAGGAATAGCATCAATGGCTTTTGGCTCTGCTTATTATCATCTAAAGCCAGATGACAGTAGAGTACTGTGGGACACATTGCCGGTTAGCAATTCACTTGTTTCACCGTCTTTTATGGTCCTCTTAGTTATTAATCTTTTGGTTTTGACAGGAATTTTGCTATGTTGTTGTTATTGTTTCATTTTTATGTTGTTGTTATTGTTTCATTTTATTTTTATTTTTATTTTTATTTTTTTTATTTTATCACATTATGGATCACAGATGATGATTGCATTCTCTGGCCTATTTGCTAGTTTAGTTTTTGAGAGAGTGGGGGTGCGGATTGGATTCACTTGCTTGTTTGCACTCCTTCTGCTTGCTTTGATCAGCATAGCCTGTGAGAGGTTAGTTTGTCGTTGGTGATGTTTATACATATGTATGTAATCACTCTAAACTCGAAAATTCAATAAAGCCTGAAAACACAAGTGTTCATGGTCGTCAAAAAATCAATACCCAGAAATGTTTACACTGTGTGTTGATTTTTTCATTTCTTGTTTGTTGTTTTCCCCTTTGTATACTTGTTCCAATTTGAATTCTCAAGTTTGGGAGATTATCTTATTTAGTTTTCTGTTGAATACATTATGTTAGTTGGTTGCAGAAACTTTAATGATCTCCGCTGGTGCATGATGTTCCAGTTGATTCCGTGCATAGGCATCCCATGTATGGCATTTTTGTACCCACCTAAGTATACTCATTCAAGATATTGGCATTGTGCGACAGGTTTGCAATTTAACTGTAGTTCATTTCTTCCTTTATCCGTTAGCTTTTATTGTTACTAGTATTTTTTAGTTCTAACTCATGGTTCTGCTTGTTGAGAAACTCCCACAGCCTTTCTTTTCTGTTAAAGGAATCAAAAAGCAACAACTACTTTATTCAAGTGGAAGCAATAAATGAAATAAGGAAATGCATAATCTTCATAATGCCAGATCTAATAGAAATACAAACATTCTTCTCTTTTGTACACAGTCAGGTTCCTTGTCAAATTGAACTCCTTTTTTGGAGACCTATCATGCACATGATCAAAATATACGTTTGGTTAGGAAAAAAAGAAAAAGAGAGAGAAGTTTTTATACACAACAAGAAGTTATTGGAGAATAATAAACCAGCCACGGGGATGTGAAGTATGAATCTGGCAGCAAAGTACTCCCCAAGGAGTCTTGCATTTTAATATTGAAGAGAATGGATATAACTTAGCAAAGAGTACTTTTTTGCCTCATTGTGTTGTTCCATTTTCCTTCTCTTAAAAATAAGGTATTTTAGAATGATACAGTTAAATAGATGTGCCGGTAAGAGGAGGTAGATCAGTTAGCAATTTTGCATAGACAGTATGAGACAAAGAGGCCGACCAAAATTATTTTCGTGACCTTACTCAAATGAGAGTAAGGCAACGATGATGATGATGATAGTTGAATAGAATAGGGAAATCAAGATTCCAACCCCTCTTCGTTTTCCCCCCTCATTTTGCTATTAGCATCTGTGGGCTAGGCTCCAGACCTTCAATAGAAATATTAGGCTCCTAGCTTAATAGCAAGTAGGCCCCAAAACAGGAATTGTGTTTTAAAAGTGTGCTTAACACTGTATTGAAAAAAAGCACGATGGAGGTTCCACGCTCTGGAATCACTCGCATGTCGCATTTTTTGCAGTGTATGCAGTGAATATTGATTGGCTCATAGTTCTGAGGAGCTATGATTGATTTTAAACAGATAGGAATGTATATTCACTTAGTGGGGCCTCAAGAATCCTTTTATTGCCCTTACATTGGAAATAGAAGGAAATTTTGAACGATTTTCTGCTCACAATTCTAGTAGGAACATACAAGATACGGTGGGTGGAGTCATTGCTTATAGATTGAAGATGTCTATTGTTTTAATAGTTATCTTACTGGTGAGAAAATGGGATCTTCGGGTGTATGGTTGTTGCTATGAAATTAAAGACTATCTTGCATGGGACCATGAGCTGATCAACATGCTGAGTTTTGATTGTTTATGGCTCAGTTTTGGACTTGGGTAGTTGGGTGGCTCAAATGCAACATATGCCTTGCCCCAGCCAGCTTGTGCACAAGTAACTAGATAAGCCTTGCATGTTGTTAAGGTACCAATTTGAATGCGAACCAAACTAGTTTGAAGGTCCAGTAGTCTTATGTGGAACCAAACTTTAATTTTTTTTTAGGTGGCAGGATTTTACATCAAGAAAGTTAATATTTTCTTCTGAAATAGCAACGTGTCTAATTTACAAACATTATAATGCTTGTATAGGTGATGGAAGCTGGCAATTTTTTATTAATAGTTGAGATTGAGCATGAGCGCATTTGTTTTGCTCTTAATTTTCAGGACACTTTAAGTGAAATCTGGACTTTTTTTTTTGGTCAGGTATGTACTAACAAACTTTTTGCCCACGCCCGGGCTCAAATGTGAAATCTGGAGACAGTAAGTTGATTCACATCGGTGATGTGGTTAAAGTAGAGGACTTGCCAGTAAATCTAGATTGAGATGTGGGTTCCCTTCCAATGTCTTATTTCTGTATTCTGTTGGATTCATCTTTCATAGTTAAGGTAGCATGGGACTCTGTGACAGATTTTAGAGGTGGTCAGTGAGGTGGATAAGATAATGCATATTATAAGGAAGAACACTTTCTCTTATCAAAATGACCCTTTCGAATTATGTAATATATTTCTTTTAGCTATTTTTTACCATTCCATCCTAGGCGATCATGAAGCTCGAGAAATTGCAGAGTGGCTTTCTATGGGGTGTTAACCGTGTTATCAAGGATTTTAAATACTTCTTGAATGACTAGGAGTTGTTTGCTTGCCAGTGAGGATTTGTGTCTTGAGCATCAGAGATTTTAGGCAATTTAATTGTGTCGTTTGGAAAGTGCTTGTGAAGGTATGTGATGGAGGTGTGCAGCTTATGGAGGTTGGTCGAAGATAAAATAGGGAAGATAGGGTGGTCAGACTATAATAGAAGTCCGAAGTCCGAAGTCCATATGGAGATAGGATATGGATTAGGAATGGGACAGGGATATTGGTAGTTTTCCAGCCTGTTGAATTTGTAGTGGGAGGTGGTTCGCATGTGAGATTCTGGCATGATGTGTAGTGGCAATGATGTGCCTTTTTTGTGTGACTCTTCAGACTTGTATAGGATTACTTTCATCAATAAGGCTTCTATTGTGTGCTGTAACCGTCTCTAGAAGAATGGGTTGTGTTAGAACCCGCCTTATTAGAGCATTTCAGGATTGAGAAATGGAGTTTATGGATAGTTTGTTGGAGATGCTCTATTCCACTTTTCTGGGGAGAAACAGGGAAAATTTCTTGTGGTGGACGGCAGAGACAAACAGGAAATGCAGGGCTTTTAGGTTCCTTTGGAAAGATATCTAGTGCGTGAAAGTTCCTTTTTAGGTATGTAGTGATGTTGGATGCGATTCTGATTATTTGTAATCTGAACTTAATGTCTAATTAGTATTGCATGTGCATAGTGTTAACAACCATCTACTCCAAAAGCTTAAGATGTTAGAGAGGGTGTAACTTACATATATAAACCCTTCAACTAAGAAGCACGGACACGGATACGACACGACACGGATACGGCGACACGGCAAATTAAAAAATATTAGGACACGGACACGGCGAGGGCAGTATATATATATATATATATATATATATATGATGTAGTACTTTAAAAATTACTGAGTGTTACTATTTTTCATCAACCTCACAATGAAAAAAAAATACAAATCATAACTAATAAACTATAAAAGAACAATGTTGCAGAGTTATAAAATCAAATAAAAAACAAGACATTAGAATAATAATTAGTATCATTTACTCATCATTGCAACTTTACTCCAAATACAAAAACATAGACAGAAATGACTATTAACATTCATGACTATTTAACAATCAGGACTTTACTCTTAGCACTTAACATTAACAAAAACCTAAAGGCTTGTCCCCAAAAAAGATACAAAAACAAGTCTACTGTCATCTATTCCCATCCATCATTTGACCTAGAACTTTTACCATTTACAATACCAAAAGGGTAGTACAAGACAAAAAACAGAACATATCAGCATTCGAAAAAAAAAAAATTTACTTATCAAAAAAAAAAAAAAAGAAAATATTCCAGACACGCGTGTCGGACACACCCCCCTGGCATGTCCGCGGAGTGTCCGTGCAATGTCCGAAAATAAAAATAAAAAATAAAAAATTCCAGACACGTTTGTTGGTGTGTTCAACACGTGTCGGGACATGTCTCGACGCGTGTCTGTGTCTGACACGTGTCGGACACGGATTCTTCGCCCATTTTGGCGTGTCCGTGGTTCCTAGTCCTTCAACACGCCCCCTCACGTGTGGTCGTTGTTTGGTCCTAACACGTGTTTCAATTTTAATTATCATGGTGACGGTGAGGCTTGAACATGAGACTTTTGGCTCTAATACCATGTTAACTCCAAAAGCTTAAACCGTTAGAGAGGGTATAACTTAAATATATATATCCTTCAACACATAGTAAGAGAAAAGTTAATCATATGTCGATGCATGCATGGTAGCTAGGAATTCTGGAGCATGGTCTTGTCTCTTTTTGGTGTATGTTAGGTAATGCCTAGTGGTGGTAGAGCCGAGCTCTTATTGGAATAATGGTTGTGCTATCAGGAGAGTGAAACAAGCTTAGGAGTTATGAACTGTTCAATGTCTAAGACTGATATTGCAATAGTTAGGGTAAGATCAAGGCTAACTCAAGAGAGAAGAAAGTGGCAATTGTGTAGCACCTTAAATTTGGAGGTTCAGACTTCAGAGCCTCCTGGGTTCAAAGGATCCTTGTTCCTTGGTTTTTGGATGTCCTCAATATGATGGGGTGTATCTTATTTATAATTTGAGGGCAAATGAGGCATTTCTCTTGCTGACATGGAAGTCTGATCTGTTTGCCAATGCTCACCTCCCGTCTTCCTCATTGGAGACCGCCATGTGCACTGGGGCTATCATGCTAGGGAAAAGATAAAAAGTGCACTTTAATACTTCTAGGCATACATTTTCAAACATAGAGGTGGCTGTGAAGCCAAACATCCAGTAGAAGGCTTGTGGTGCAATTAGAGTCTTCCACATCTTCTTGGACACTTGGCCGACACGCCCCAGGCACTCTCCAACATGTATATGTACCACAGACACATCTAAAAGTAACTACGTCCCACAATCCTTATAGCAATATCATACACCTCAAAATGTCCAACCTTTTATTTGGAAATTTTCATATGGGATAAAAAATAATTGTGATGACAAAGTAGGAGAGTAGAGGCATATGTAATACAGTAATTTTTACGATATTTGCATAGCTTCATTTCCTCGATTATGCAACTCCTAATATAGAATTTTAATATTAATTAATGTTCTATAATTGTCTAATTTAATAAATGTATACAAATAAAAATTTATGTTTATATATAGCAGTGTCAGTGCCCTACTTTTTATGGACTGAATGTGGCCCCCCCCCCCCCCCCCCCCCCCCCCGGCGCGCGCGGTTTAGCATATGTTAGAGATAAGGATATCAGCTAAAACTTTCCTTCCTTTCCCAAGAGTGAAAATCAAGTCATTAATGAGCTGAATGATGAATGGCTTGATATTGATAGTATACATCATGTTGCAATTTCCTAACAGCTTATGTATTGTGGACAAAGGGTTATCTAATATTTTGTTTATTGCTAACCGGGGAGCATTATTGCTCAAGAGTCAAGTCTCTGCATTATGTGACAATGGTCTTTTTGCAATATCAAAATGTGTTGTCATTGCCATTTTTACTTCGGAATATAAATGAAACTTTTATGTTTGCTCAGTTTTTGAATAAATGAAGAATAACTGCAGCAATACTTGTGCGGCACTGAGTTGTGGATTTTCTACTTGCACATCTAATTCTAATTTATATATACAAGGTTATCTAAAATGCTTATGAGATATTCAGACCATTTGACTTTACGAGTTTCCTCTGCGTTGATAGTGTATTTCTGCACATTTTTATATCAGCAAATTATGTCTTCCAAGAACTTAAACTGTCAGTGCTGGACCAATTTAGAGGAGGAATGCGATCCTGAGTTAACCTTTGACTTTTTAGATTATGGGCTAATGATTAATATGCTTAATTGTCCATTACATGTGAGAAGTACATAAAGTAAATAATGTATTCAGATGAATTCTAAATATTTTGTTGAAATGATATCTGTAATGTGATGCGGACTGGCAGACAATTGCATTCCTTTTTTCTTTATCTTTTGTTGTTCTTGCTTTTGTTTTGATAAAATTATGTGATTCTACCTGCTAGTTTTTTCAATATGGTGCATAATTGCCATAGTTGCACATTTCTGGAAATTTAATTTCCGGGAGGATGTTATTTGACTATCTGAAATTCACCTGGGACAGGGGCTTACCTTCTTGCAAAATTTGAAGCTGCGGTTGATAGGAAAATTTACAATGTAAATCATTACATTATCAGTGGACACTCATTGGAGCACTTATGTTTAGTGATGGTTCCTTTGCTGCTCACTCACATGCTCATGTTCAGAAATATTAGAACTCTAAGGTACTCTTTTTTTGCAGTTTAGTGAAGCCAGTGATTTAGGGGTTTTTTTGGATGTCCCTGGAAATGAGATTATTATATGTCTTGAGTAGTCCATGTTGCGTTTCAGAGGATTCAAATGGGCCTGTTTCGGCAATGTCAGTTAATGGACATTGGTTTGAGTGTCATAGCCCTAAATCTTAGGACGTAGGGACATAGCCAAATTATGAAAATGTCCGATCTTTCCCTCTTTTATGCCCCTAGGAATCATGAAATGTAAATGTGATATGGTATGTCAGATGTGGATGTTTCTGCATATTGAAATAACCACACAAAAAGAAATTCAATAAATGCTTGAAAACTTATTTTGAACTAGAAGTGAAAAAAGCTGCTGGAGGAGAACTAGTGCAGCATAATCCAATTGAAAGATAGGCAACATAAATCTAGTGTAGATAGACCTGCTACACTGTAGCAGCTGCAGCTTATTCTAGCATATGCTGCTACCACTGGTAGAGCTGTGTTTGTTCCTTTTAGCTTTATTTTGCTTGGGTCTTGTGCCCCCATTTCAATTTAGAAAATGGTGAATGATATGCTTTTTCTTTACTATTTTCCTTTGTTGAACATGCCTCTTGATTACCATTCAATAGTGCTACACTGTAGCAGCTGCAGCTTATTCTAGCATATGCTGCTACCACTGGTAGAGCTGTGTTTGTTCCTTTTAGCTTTATTTTGCTTGGGTCTTGTGCCCCATTTCAATTTAGAAAATGGTGAATGATATGCTTTTTCTTTACTATTTTCCTTTGTTGAACATGCCTCTTGATTACCATTCAATAGTAGCTGTGGGGCTCATGTCCAAGCTTAATGTGCCACAAGTACTTTAAATAACTTGGATTATCCACATGGCATAGTTGGTGTGTATAGGTCAGTATTTAGAATTATAAGTACGATGATGATTGCAATTCTTTTTTGTTTTGATGCTTACTTTATACTAACACATTTTTCAGAAATTACTTTATACTAACTTACGTTTCTTATATCGTCATTGAAATAAAATCCCGGCTCAAAAGATATAAAACAAGATTGGCTGCAGATGGGAACTATATGATGATACCTCTCTCTTGAGGAAAACCTTTATAAATTTTTATGAATTTCAGCTGTCTACAATCAAAATTAACGCTGAAATTTCTTCATTGTTGAATGAGCAAATGTATCATGAGGGTGCTCTCAGTGTAAGCACATCCCTCTCTCAATTAACGGCTGTGAGGGTGTGCTTAGAGTGAAAATGCCCTCATGATAGCTTTCTCCTTGTTGAAATTTTAAAATATTTGAACTTTGTGCAGAAAATAAGTGAGATTGTTTATTTGTTCTCTCTGTCTCGTTTTGCTTAATTATGTAAATCTTCTGATTTAGTGAGGCTCTTCTTGCTCTTACGTGTTAATTACACTCTCAACACAGATTGGGTGAATTTAAAGAGCGTCCATGAAGACAGCAGGCAAGAAAGTGGATGACTTCCAGTGCTGCAGCAAGTGGACTCGAAAAATTTCTCTGTTACGCTGGACATGAGTTGGTAACCTTGCTTTTAGCAATTAATCGGTTAATTTTTTGGGGTCATTTTTTTTATCCTTCGGTATTCCAAATTCTCAACTAATATTCCGTGAAGAAATGGAAGTTTGTGATTAGATGCTTCCCAAATACCTCTATTTTGTGTAGCATGGTGATTGTATTGCAAAATTTCTTTGTTGGAGGTACAATTTCCAAGTTATGACTACTAAAAATTGATCATAGAGGCCTTGCGAAGCTAGGCTATGATGAATTCCATATGATCTTGAACTTATTCATCACTGACTAATGATATTTTGTAAAAACATATATGATTAACGGCTTTTACGCTCGTTGCCTATGCTGCTCAATATGTACATCAACAGTTCATGGAGAGCTAACATGGTGATTGTCAAAAATTGAAAAAAAAACTATTTACTGCTTTCTGTGGTAGGCTGCATTCTTTAGTACTGTGATAAAGTCATAAAAAATGATTACTATTTTTAGATGTTTTTCAATGATAAATTGTTGTGACTTGTATTTATTTCAATGATATAGTATTACATAGCAGGCAATAATTAGAAGGCACATTCAAAACCCTTTCAGCACATGCATGACATACACTAACCATTTATGCTTGCCTACGACATGTACCTTGTGACAAACATGCTCATGCCTTCACATGCATCTTTGTGTCCTTTGACTTGCTGTGTTGTGTTGTGTTGTGTTGTGTTTGTGGCCGTAATTTACTCACATGTAGAGCTATCTACTTATATTCACATGCATGTGCAATGTGCCTATATATGTTGGCACAAGAGCATGTAAATAGATATCATATGCTCTCAGAATCTATGACCCAAATGAACATGAAAAAACAAAATACATAATCTACACTAACTAATTTATTCCAACAACGTGTTATGAATAGTGGGGTACACTAGTTATTTAAGTATTTTTCTAATTATTAGACACTATATCTTCAATACATATGTGAGTTTATGTGGGTTTGCTCAGTGTATGAGATTTCTACCGCTGCGGAATCTGGTATGCACACAGGCTTAGTAGGATATTTCTTGTTTTGAATTCGTGAACTCTAAGTCACAGTAAAGTAACCTTATCAAAAGCTTCGGTGGATGCCATCTATACTTATTTAATGCTATTTAAGTAGAAAATTAATCAATAAATGCGTTCATACGAGTCTAACATGCTATGTTGAGTCTCTTTTCATTTGGGGTGGAGCTTGGATCACCGTGTTGGGCAAATCTGAAATCCGCCCCAAATTACAAAACCCTTGGGTCACCGTGTTGTGCAAATCCGAAGGCCGCCCCAAATTACAAAACCCGAACCCAAGCACTGAATCGGATATTGGTGTTTTAAGATTTTGAATTTACAATATTGCACTTGTTAACTTTTGGTGTTTCTGAGTATGGACTATGGTATTATGTAATGACATATTAAACTTAGCTTTTGATCCATTTTGTTATTATGTCATGTCAAAACTTTCAATTGTTCTAGTTTGGAAAAAGTTAATCTTATGTTTGGCAGTATCGAATCGGCGTCTTAAATTTGAGATTGAAAAAAATTTAATACAAAATTTGAACTAAGTTTATTTCAATTCCAAATTTAATGCACCGATTCAGTTTTCCCAAACATAACAAAAGGTTATTTAATTTGTTATTACAATGTCCCGAAATCTAATCTGATAACAACGGGACTTGGAAATCCGAATTCAGTCCAAAATTTTAATCCTATTTGTAAGCCCGAATTCAACCCTAAATTAAAAAATTAAGGACGAATTGAGATCGGGTTGAATTGGGTTAGGTCGGAGTTTTTATTTTATTTTGACCTGCAAGAATACTGTCAACATCACTTTGAATACCATTTTCATTTCTGTTTCATATTTCATTGTTTGAATGAAAAATGGTTTTCAAGTCCAACTCTTCAACCGAATTGTTGGGCCTGGGATGCTTTCAAATGGGACCGAAATTGTTTGACTACTACAACTAGAAGTGGTGTGATTAGGGCCATCCTCAAAGTTGGAAAAAGGACTTACGTAGTGTTTTCACAGGGTTGGTTAGTGAGTAGTAAGTAAGCTTACCCTCTTCGTTTAGCATAATTAATTAATCTTTCTAATAGATTTCTGTGCACGTTAAATATAAAGACACTCCAACCTTGAAAAGAACAACACTAATTCGTTTGTTTGGTTGACTTGATTCTTAAGTTAATGCTCATTAATCACTGTGTATTTCTACTACTAGTATTAATTAACTAATTACTATTACTTTACACTTCAAGTAACTTGCATTGTTAAACTTGGACAATTATTTGAAATCCAAACTCGGAAGAACAACTCAATTATAGAAAAGGAACCCGGATCCCCTGCCTCATAGATTGGAATTCGATCTGATCTGATTATCCATATATGACTTGAATTTTTTTTTTTTTTTTTTTTTTTTTTTAATATGTTACATTAACAAATCAAATATATATATTTTATTACATTAGAATATATTTTATATTAGTTATCTACTATTATATATATATATATATATATATGTTAATTATTTATCACTATATTAATTTGTTTGCATATTTATATTATGCACCAACATATATACGCGGAGTATTAATTATTTTTCACTCCATCTAACTTTATAAATTATACATCTTAGTGAATAATCTGAAATCAAATTCAATCTGAATCCGAGCTAAATATGATATGTATTAGAATATTTTTTTTTCGAATATTGATATGGATTGGAACATTCAATTTAATAACCTATTAGTGATTCGAATCCGATAATTCTTTAACTTAACAAATTGAATATGAATTTGATCATCCGAATCTAAATTCGATACGTTGACAAGCATACCTAGAAGGAATCTTGTGCAGTATTTAGACAGTACAATAAATATTTAAAAAAATTATTATTGCAAAAGTGATATAATGTAATTATTACATGACTGATATAAAAATTATTACATATAATAAGTAATGTAATGGCACAAGACTGACATAAAGTGAAATAACACAAAAGGGAATATGAATCGGTGCGAGTGAGACTCTTCCGAGTTTATTATACTCTTTATTGAGCAAGAGTGTGAGCCTCGTTAATTAAATGGAATGAAATTAATATGCTTTGAACTATTTGTTTGAATTAGTAGTTGTTTTCTTCAAAATAATTGTACTAAACTAATACGAAGTGGTTTGGCTTCTTATTTATGCAATCTCATCTATTTGGTGAAAATGAATTTCATAATAAATTTAATAGCATAAATTTTTTTCAAGAATCAATTTCATGTCATCCAACCTAACATAAATATAATTAATAAATCAGTTTGATGAAATGATTTCAAGTTTGTCGTATAGTTCACTTATTAATCTTATTCGACAATCATATAGACACTTAATCTAATGAGACAATCATATAGTGACAAGTGTCTATTAGAACAATTAATTGAATTTATTCACCAGTTTATAGTTAATGGTCTTAATCTTAACTTCCTAATCCATGATTATCTAATCAACCAACCAGACCAAAAAACCTGGTCCCGCGTTACTTACCACGTGTAAAGCACAAGCAACTTCAACGTAAGGGTATGTGTCCTCTTCTTATTATATATATATATATATATTTGTAATTTAGGACACTCCCAAACTCCCGTGTCCAACCTTTTCATATGATAATACTAACAAAATTAGAACCCATTTCCACATCTCATATTGCATACTGTATTTCTTAGAGAGAAAGTAGTTTATACAGGTTGCATCATAGAGAGAGAAAGTAGAGAGAGAGAGAGAGAGAGAGTCCACATTTTGGTGAGGTGGAGGCATCCCTTGTGGGTAGAGAGTTCCTCAATCTCTCTCACACACGAACACACACACACAATTCTTCTTCTCTAAATTCTCACACACTTTATACATTTGAGGTCTTCACAATCATCTTCTTATTCTTTTCTTTCTAGCTCTACCAAATATGACAGACAGAGTCCACTCCTCAGCCAAGCCCAACGGCGCCGCCCCCGCCGCCCGCACCGCCACCAATGGCGCCACCAACCCACCACCGTTCCCGGCCACTAAATCCCAACTTTACAATCCCACGCGCCCCCCTTACCGTCCCCAACCCAATTACCGCCGCCGCAGCCAGCGCCGCCGCGTGAGCTGCGGCCGGTGCTTCTGCCTCTGTTTCTTCTGGTCTCTCATCCTCCTCACCGCCCTCCTCCTCGTCGCCGCCATATCCGGCGCGGCTGTCTACGTCCTCTACCGCCCCCAGCGTCCCACATTCACCGTCTCCGCCCTCCGAATCGGCCGCTTCAACCTCTCAACCTCCTCCGACGACATCACCCACCTCACCACCCTCCTCAACCTCACCCTCTCCACCAAAAACCCCAACAAGAAACTCACATTCCTCTACGACCCATTAACCATCACCACCATTTCGAACCAGGTCTTGATCGGAAATGGGTCTTTCCCATCTTTCACCAGTGGCCCAAGTAACATCACCTTCATTCGATCATCTCTCTCCAGTGTCTCGCAAGTTCTGGATGCAGAGTCTGTGAAGTCTCTGAGATCGGATCTGAAGAAGACGAGCAGTGGGTTGCCACTGAAAATTGTGATGGACACGATGGTGGTGGTGAAGATGGAAGGATTGAAGAGCAAGAAAGTGGGGATCAGAGTTTCGTGTGAAGGAATTCATGGGCAGCCTCCAAAAGGTAAATCTCCGTCGGTTGCTTCAACCTCTAATGCTAAATGTAAGGTTGATCTTCGGATCCAGATCTGGAAATGGAGCTTTTGATCTTAAATAAGTACTCAATATATATATTTTTTTTTGGGGGGGTTTGATAGTGAAGTATTTGAGAAATTGAGGTTGTTATTATAATTGAGAAGAAGAGGAGGGGTAGGATTATAATTTTTCTTTTTTTACTTTTATGTTTTGGTTCTATATAATGAAGCTTGCATCTTTCTGCTCAATGAATTGTAATATGAAAGAATTATTTGGGTTCATAATTGAGATTTTCTCCATCTATATCCTTGTTTATTCAAATAATTTTAATTCAAGCAAAAACAATGGCTAATAGTTCTTTTTACACATATTAGAGGAGCAAGTTGTACTAATCCATGTGGTTTTTGTATACTATGAGAAAATAGTTTGTGTGTTTTGAAGACAAATTGAAAGGGAAATTTCTCTTAATTTGTTTCATACGGGACCCAAAGAGTGATGTGAATGGGCAGTGCAGCAGAAAGAGAAGTAGTTGATGGAGCATAAAAATTGTGTGATCATTAATTAGAAAGTTGCAAGAAAGCTACAACAAAGTGCAAGTACTGAAATCAATGACATATGGATGGACGTTTCACTCATGGTTTACTAATGTAACAGTGGACAAACTTTAATTGTTACTGCAACATTCTTGTGCCACCTTCAACTGCGAAATTAATGTTTCATTTTGTATTAAGGTTCTAACAGAGGAAGAAGAGTGTTTTTTTTTTTTTTTTTTTTTAAATAATTGTCTCGAGACGGTACTATCTATCATCTTCAAAGGAAATGTTTAGAGTTAAAGAGTCGTTTAAGGAGGGGTGACAATTCGTGTTGACGGATTGTATTCGTATCATGTCAAGACATGAGTATTCTGTTAAATGAGGTGATATAAACATGACACAATTATCATTCGTGTTAAAAGATCTTGATATGAACACGATACGATTATATATGGATAACATGACATGACTCGCGTAACTCATTTAATGAATGAGTTAAGACTTTAAGTTATTTTTGACAAAAACACGACACATCTATTAGTCGCATTTAGTTAAATGAGTTATTTGTAACACGAACACGACACGTTTTGTTAAACGGATTAATTGATTATAAATGAGTTGGAGGGTCAAATACGAACACGACACTCTTGATTACCGTGTTGACACAATTATGATCACTTATTTCATGTCGTGTTCTAATTATATTAGGATGTCATGTCAAATATTGTCACCCCTACAAGATATCAAGTACCAAAAATGAATTTCTTTTCTGTTTTTGCATGCTTTCAGGAAAATTAATGCAAGCATGTTGTTGAAAAGTAAAACTGCTTTTGATCTTTTCCGATTAGTGATTACTGTGAGAGTAAAAGTAAACACCACAATGAAAAGGAATTCATTTTTCGTACTTGATATCATGTAGAAATACTAAGGAAATATGAGGGAAAATGTAACAGAATAATTTTAATATTTCACGATATATGTGTGTGTGTGTGTATATATATATATATATATTTTTTTTCCTTTGAATATTAATATTTCCTCAGCCCAAAAATAAATGTTGAAGTTTTGATATATGTATACACATATATATGTATTGGGTATTAACCATGTATATATGTCATTAAATACTTGAAATTCTACGTTGGAATTTAGAAGGGAAACATCATCAAATGAAAGTCATATTGTCATCTACTTAGTTTTATCTAAACAATGAATAGAATTATGATAAAAAAGTTTAATATTTTTGCCCATTTTCTATTATGGTCCTTGAATATATACGTGAATTGAAAGAGGCTTGCGAATTGATGGCATATTTCTTTCTTAATTTTTCGTTACTTACATGGGAATTATTGTCTGGGTCTCGTAAGTGTTTCTCGATTTATCTTCTAGGGGTGGGTTTAAAGGGTCATGGAGAATTCTACGATTATTAAAAAACAGAAAAAAAAAAACTATTACTTTATTTTTTATCCAATGAAGAACTTTGCCTCTTTCAATAAAATTTCTTAATTAATAAAAATTTCAATGTCATTATTTTTTAACAAATGGACGATTAGTCCATTAGTATAATCTCTCTCTCTTTTTTTTTTCCTTTCTAAGAATAGATGCATAGTTGGAATCGCATGGTAAACATTTGTAAATATGTGAGTATATATTTACAAAAATAATAATAATAAGAAGAGAAAAAAGAAAGCTTAAAACAAAAAAAGAAAAAGAAAAAATCAAGAATACATTCAGTTAATTGTATCTAATAATTTCTTTTGAAATAATGGTATCTAAAGTCAAAGGGAACCAGCATGTTCGTGATGGGATGGAAATGTGCGGCATCCAAATCTAAATAGGCCCCTTAATTGGTAGAGACATGTGGGCCCATTCATTTTAAGGCTCTTCCTTTGCGTGCATGCCACTCTCACTTCATCTCAGGTTCTGGCTCATTCCAAGGCACACTTGGTAATGAAAGTTAAAATTACTAATTGTTTATTTGTTGTTATTTTAATATCTCTCTTATGCATACATTATTTAGTTTAATTTAATTTATTTTTATTGAAAAGGTGTAAATATATACACCATTCATGTGTATATATATACACAATAAATAAAAAATTAAAAAAAGGGGTAAACATATAACAAAGGGATTTGGATGAGGGTGGAGGGGATGGCTTAGATTTGGGTGCACGTGATATCCGTGTTTCTTGATCTGGTTGTGAGAGGCAGTTGGAATATGTGAGACTAGTCAGCTTGTAAATAACTCTTTATACATACACTTCTCATGATATTACAGGGGACTTCTCTTGGATTTGTGAGGGAGAGTTTGATTTGGGTTCTCTTCTTGCTTTCAAAGAACTGTCATAGATTTAGTGAACCTACTGGTCCTCGTTGTTTTCTATCTGTTTTTGTTTGCGGGTTCAATTAAATCACACACCAATTTCCATTTCTTCTTCTCTTGTGGTCGTCCCGACCCATTTGACGATATTACGGTGTACTACAAAGCTTAGTATGATTTATAAATTATATTTGAATATTGAAAATACTCGTAATATCCTTAGATAACTTCAGGTTCAATTAAGGATCCTGAATTTGGTTCGTTATATCATGCTAATGAACAATTGATCCCATCACATGCTTATACACATAAACATGTCTCCAAACAAAATCATACATATCATGCTCAATGAATTTGTATGTAGAGGGGAGCCAAAAAAAATTCCTTTACAGAGCAGGAAAAATAAATAAGTGGATTTAAAAGTCATTAATAACTTTTTCATGAAAATTTCAAGAGTCACTTGCTATATATGGTCAGTATGTAGCATTTGTTGTGCACATGCTGATGAGCAAAGTACTTAATGCCTTGCATTCTGCCTTACATCAATGAGAACTATATTCGATCATTGATTAATTTCTTGAAGTGTTACCTAAGTATTCGTCTTTGTTGGACATGTATAATTTTATAGATATATCAATCACATTAGAAAAAATATATAAATTCTACTTATAAGAGTAACTTACCAAAAAAATCATCAACTACTTTTTTATAATATATATTCCAGATTTGGGCTTTCAAGTCAATTACATCCTACTGCAAAAAACATTCTATAATCATGCAAAATTAAAATTCAGTAGTTTGCATACATATATATAACAGAAAACCAGAAAAAGGGAAGGGAAAAAAATTTTAAATTGCTCTATGTGGTTGGCTTGGCAATTCGAAGCGACACAAGGGACACATGTGACTCCTTTTGAGCCATTCCAAAATGCAGACCGGATGGTATGTATGAGAACACGGCAAGCAAGTCACTTCCGACCCAATAAACATATCATCCCTGCATATCGCGCACACTTTCCCTCTATTATTATTCTCTTCAAATTTGATCGTCTCCAATCTCGCGATAGATGATGTACTTGCAGGCACTGATCTATCATATCCCAAATACTCTCTCATAGTCCGATCCATCAATGACAAGAGCAAGTTTCTTTCATATCTTTTGTCCAAGTGAGCTTTCTTTGGTGCAGTGTTCCTCACTCTCATTGCTATTTCTTTCCATATGCCATCAAAATCCATACCAGGCCATGCCCTTACGATCCAGGAAACAAATTGGTGGAGTTCAAGCACACGTTTTTCCATCTCCTTTGCGCAGTCCATTGCTTGGATCTCATGACTAGGCAAAATCACTATTTTCTCAATGTTGATGTTCAAAACCAGTATCTTTCGGCCACAATTTGAGAATTTAGCGACCGTCCAACGAGCATCATCCATGACAATTTTAATTAGATCATCGAGCTTGTCAAGCTCATGCACTGTTTCGTGGTCATAATATGGTCTGTATTGAAATCCCTCCAGTGGAAATGGCACGTTCATTCCAGAAATCATTCCGGATATCATATCGTAGGTTAGGGTTTCGCATAGAAACTGCTTCGAGATTTGTGCGATGAGGTCTCGTCTGATATTGGTTTTGAAGGACCCATCTGAAGAGATATAAGTTTTTTCCACTTTAAAATTTAGGGAAAGTTGAATGGAAGGCAGTGACTGATCATTCCTTCCGCTAATAAGACCTAGACTCTTAACTTGCAGCTTTGTTGCATCCATTAGGGAATAACTAAGAGGGACAGGTGGTGTGTGATAATACTAGTTACTACTTAGTGGATCGAGAGAGAGAGAGAGAGAGAGAGGGTGATGACAGTAGCTAATTATAGAAGAAAGACTGATATTTAGTTCGTAGGTCATAGATCATATATATATATATATATAAGGAACAGTATTTGAGTAGGAATAGGATAAAAGTGGATTTGGATTTGGATTTGGATTTGGATTTGGTATTAAACAGCGTGCATGTACTAAAGGCTTATGAAGAATCCTAACTCTCTTAGGAGTGCGACTCTGATTTGGAAAGTTATAAAAAAAAAATAAAAAAATAATTCCATTTGTTTTACCCTTAATTTGGAGGTTAAATAAAATTTACTAAGAGAAAGTAATTGATATCGGAGGTTAAAGTAGAAATTCTGACTGCTCAAGTCCTGCGTGAATATTTTTCTAATAAAAACAACAATAAAAATAATCAATTAATATGGGGTAACCGTGTTGGGCCAAATGGGGCTGGGGCTGGGTCTGACCGACTGACACATTGAGACTTGAGAGGACTATGCTAGCCCATTCCCTTTCCATCCAATATATATATATATATTGTGGCCCAATCTTATAATCTAGGCCCAATCTTATGTAGGTTAAACTTCAAAATTATAATAAAGCAAACACTTAAAAATAAACACTAAAGTCCA